TGCAGATATTCACTAGTGAAGCAACATACCACTCCTATGAGTGAATTAAATCATGAATAAATGAATCGTAACCACTCAGGGAAGCACAAAGAAATACACCAGATCATCCAGCCCTACCCCGAGTTACTGTTACCAAGGTGACTAGCTGTGCTCAACCAAATCATGCCCAGAGATGCTGAAACACCTGAGCAGGACAGGTGGAGTCCAGGCCCTTGAAGTTGTCACACACATCAAAAGTCAGTTTTACCCTGATGCAGTGTGTGTGTGCCCATTCCAGAACCAGAACCAGCATGCAACTAGGTTGTTCTGGACCTTCAGACCAGAACCCCGGTCTGGTGCTGTGTCCAGGTAGGTGCCCCTGCTGAAATGTGTGCTCCTTAACTGTGTTTCTAGAGACAGCAGCAGGACAGACTAGAATCTGTATTACCCCGCCGGGGCAACTGGTTTCACAGTCAGCAGTGAGAAAACAAGAAGGAACGGCAGCATCCCAGCAGTCCAACAGCTGCAGGGAAACACCTAGACACCTGAGACCTACGGCCTGGCTTTATCCACATCAGTGAGCGGCAGGTTGCAGCAGTAACCCTAACCCACCGCCTCTGCTCAGCTGGAAAACATCACGTGGTACTCATGAAGAACATATCGACATGTTTTAATCATTTAGGTCAAATTTATTGTCTGGAGGAAATCACCTGATGGCTGAAAATCTACTAAGCAGGTGGGGCCAAACTCAACGTCACCAACAACGTTAGCTCTGTTAGCCACCGGGTTCTCTTCTTGGGTTCTACAAACTAACATTCTGCCTTTGTGGTTCCGTCCAGGTGTCTCTTACCTGCCGTGAGGGATGTTTTCCAGCTGATATCCAGCAGTCTGCGCTGAGCTTCCAGCTCTTCTTCGATGGTTTTCTCAAACTGGGAGAATATTTCCTCAGCAGCAGCAGCTAGGCGCTCGCTGATGAACTCTCTCAGATGCTGAACTGAAGACATGGTTGCTGAAACTCCTGAAACATTCAGCTCAGACGCGACAGAACAAGCTATAACGCTGCTGCTAGCAACTTACTTCCGCCGGAAGTCATGCGCTCGGTGACCGGGGAGGGATTCTCCCTGATTGCTGCCCCTGCTCCAGAGGTCTGCTAGCCAGTAGTGATGGGAATTCCGGCTCTTTTTAGAGAGCCGGTTGTTTTGGCTCAGCTCACCAAAAAGAGCCTGCTCTTTCGGCTCCCAAGTGGCTCCTCAGATTTTCTGTTGTGTAGACTACATTTATAACCAAAATAATGCTAAACTATATGTAAAATAATTTACTAAAAAAAGCAATATATCAAATATTTATCATTTCTATGGATTTAATAACTGAACACTTTAAGAAATCTCCACTTTCCGACTGCTGGCGCTCATTTTCTCACCATCATCGTCGCACTCTCCTCCCTCTCACGCGCCTTTTTCCTCCACCCACATGTGCTCTGCTGTGTCTGTCTGAGTATGATCCTCCCTCTTCCCCGCCCCTACTGCTCTGTGTGTGGACAGTCTGGACACACAGTCACACATGGTGACCAATCGCCTGTAGCTTTCACCAAGGCAGGGGGGGAGGGGGAGGGGAGGGGACGGCTCCCAATGACGAGCCGGCTCCCGTCGTTCTCTTCAAAGAGCCGGCTCTTAGAGCCGGTTCGTTCGCGACCGACACATCACTACTAGCCAGACTACTGTTTAGTTCTGCCTCTCTGTGTGACTTGCTGCTTCTGAAGGCTACACACACACTTCTGGAACTGACGATGATAAAACGTTTTCTCCAGTGGAACGATTCAGATCAGCTGGTACGTTATCCTTCACAGTGCATCAACTGCATTCCCAAATGAGGAAACCTACATGGAGCAACCAGAGGGTGGCATCAAAACAGGACAAGAACATCTGGTGTGCAAACTAAAAATCAATGTGTGGACTGAAGCAGTCACCTGGAGCAGAGCCTTACACAGTTCGTGAAAAACATTGGATCATGTGTGAGGGATCCGGATCCTGCTTCATCCTCACTAGAGTCTTATCTCTAGCATTCACCAGGTGAGAGGCCAGGCGGGGCTACACCTGGACAGCCCCTCTGGTGCCTCTCAGGGACACACAAATTCATTCTCATCCAGTGGGGGTGGGGTGTGCACCCTGACAATATTCATGGCAGCACGGTAACGCATTGAGCAGAGCTTGTAACGAGCACGCACATCTTGCTGTTTATCAGCATTTCCTCCATCCAGCTGGTTGATGTCTCGTTATCGACTAGCAAGTACCGGACATCCCTGAATAACTTTAACCCTCCACGTTCTCAACAAGTTAACACCACAAAGTTTAATTCCAGATGTCCCACAGTTAGATTGTTGTCAACTAATTCATATGTACTCTTGGGAGTGGCCAGCTGTTTAGTTGATCTGTTTGGCTGCTGCAGCTCTCACACACTGGCCTACAGAGAGATGAATACCGGAGTGAAAAGGGCTCATTTTTTACATCAGAGAGGTTTAAAAGAAAGCTAAATAAGGGGGAAATATCAAGTCTGTTTAAGTAAACGGGTTCAAGTCAAGTCCCAAGTCACTGGTGTAAAAGTCCAATTCAAGTCCAGGTCGTTTTCTCAAGTCATCAAATTAATGACTCAAGTCCTCACCCCTGCTCTACCCCATAGCCAGTTGGTGACCAGCATTTGCTGATGTCCTCTCAAGTCCACACCTGTTAGCTAGTTTGGTTAGCTCAGGTAAAGAAACAGGAGCAAAGCTATCTAGGATGACGGGCTGGGCTTGAGTCGGAACAGCTGGATAAAGCTGAGGGAGAGATGCTAGATGTAACTATGTTCACTTTATCCACAAAGAAAGACGAGAAGTTTTTACCTATTTTCTGGATCGTCCCTGGTGGTCTAGTGGGCAGGGCTCACCGCTCTCACGGCTGCGGCTCGGGTATGATTCCTAGTTAGGGAACTTATTTAAACTTCTCAGTGGCCTAGTGGTAGAGTGTCCGACCTGGGAGTGGGAGAATCTGGGTTCAAATCCAGTCGGGTCACACCACCAGATAGCACCCGAGCACAGCCACAGCTGCAGCTCACCGCTCCCCACAGGGATGGGCCACATGTAGAGATGTAATTTCACTCATGTGTGATGACTGATGGGACTTTAGTCTCCACTAGAATAGATCTGTGCAATTTAAAATATTCCTCCCACATTAACTCACAGCCACAAAGATTTGTAATGAAGCTGCCAAACTTTAGACGAGTGGTAGATTTATCTCTGTAGTTATGTTGTTATAGGCTTAGACTTCTGGAGGACATACTGGGTTAACCTGGCTCAGGGACATGTGCAGCAGAACGTTCTAGCATGGAACAAACATGCCCCTCCGACAGATGACGCTGACAGACTGAACCAGGGGGAAGGGGAGCTGAGAGAAGAGAAACTACAGATGAAGGAGGAGACTGAGAGATTCAGGGAGGAGCTGAGCTGTTACTGAACTATAGAACAGACACAAACTTCCACATTCAACACAGTTCAACATACAAACCACAAACATTCACTCTGTTCAACATGGACTGTTGTGGGCTTTCTCTGCTGGTTGTCACAATTCTAACAGGTCAGTTTGAATCTACAGCTTTGGAATATGTTCAGTCTAAAGTTAGAAGAGTCTGACTCACTCTGAAGAGTTGGTTTTCTAAAAGTTCAAAACGTATTTATCTTCCTTAAGGAATCAGCTGTGAACAGCTGACTGCAGTGAAGAATGAAGAGTCCAGTTTAGAAGGAGCACCTGTTACTCTGTCCTACAGTTACTCTAAAATATCACCTGGTGATTATTTCTTCTGGTACCGACAAGATCCAGGAGAACCTCCAGAGCTCCTGATCTCTTACTCTGCTTCAGGAGTAGAAGGAACTAAGAAAAGGACTGGATTATAGATTCAAGTAGCAGGAACTCAACTTAACCTGCTGATCTCCTCTGCTGCAGCGACAGACTCTGCTGTGTACTACTGTGCTCTGCAGCCCACAGTGACAGGAAACAGTAAAAGTGTGTAGAAAACCCTGCAGAGCGAAGACAACACAATATTGCACAACATCCACTAGAGCACAGTCGGCAACCTGTTCCCATCAAAGAGCCATTATTACCCGTTTCCCACAGTAAAGAAAACACTGGGAGCCACAGCAGCCTCGGCGTTGTGGGCGGGGCCTACCCTCAGACATCTGAGAGCTGCTTTAACCAATCACAACAGGTGACAGCAGCCAGTACCGGTCGCTCGTGTACGTCAAAGTTTTCTTTCATAAGACGATAATCAATAAAACGATTTTTATAAAATGGATCCAGAAGTTGTAGCCTGTCTCTGCCTACAATATTTTGATATTTTTCACCCTGCTGGTGGTTTTACTGAGCAGATGCCCCTTTTGTCATTCGTTTCTTTTTAAAACATGTTTAAACTGTTCAGAATACAAATCCAGGCTGTGTCACGTTTGATTGTTGTAATTAAACTTTGTAGGTGGGGAAGGTCAGAAAAGGATCCGATCAATTTGTTTTTCCCTCATTTACAGTGACGGAGATAACGGCGCAGTGTGCCTGGCTCTGGTGTTAATCAAGTTAAATTATATCTCTTTGCAACAATTTTCACAAGAAAACAGAACAGTTAAAAGCAGGGCTTGTGTTGACCGGACAGTTCTCGTATTTGGCCGTTTATTTTGACGGAGAAAGAATAGAAAGAATTACCCCGACGCATGCAGACGAACTGACATTTTATTCGTTATGTACATCGCAGATGTAGCTAAATCACTCAAGAAAATATTTCCTTCTGAAGATCTGAGCTGGACACTGTTCAGCGCAGCTCACTGTCAGCACGTACATAAGGTGCACAGCGAGCTGAAGATGTGGAGAGGGGCTTGGAGCGCGTCGCAGAACCAGAGCGCATGCGGGAAGATTCCTCCGACTGAAGCGAGCGTTTTCCAAACCCGGTCTCTCAGAGTAGGGCTGCTCAATTAATCGAATTTTAATCACGATTACGATCTGAGTTTTGAACGATTATAAAAAACATAACAAGCCGATTATTTGCTCCTCCCGCTTGCGCTGCCCTAAGTTGCAAATGAAGCGCTCCTCCACAGTGTTGCCAACTTAGCGACTTTGACGCTATTTCTAGCAGCTTTTCAGACCCCCTTCTTGACTTTTTAATCCTAAAAGTACCTAGCGAACATCTCAGAAACATCTCTGGTAACCCTTAGCTACTTTCTGGATAACTGTCGTCGACATTTCCTGCAGGTTAGCTAAACACTCCGCCTGTGCTCCGGACCGTTCTTCACAACATTAGGAAAGGGAATGATGCAGTGATGTGTCGGTCGCTAAAGACAGCTCTCGGAGCCGGCTCCTTGTTGGATTAACCAGAGTGAGTGACACACACACCGCACCTGCGGTCTCCTGAGCAGCTAAAAACAGCTAAATGTGCGCGTGCGGCGTGCTAAACACACGTGCAGCTTGCCCGATTGCTGTGAGACCGGGGTGGGGGGGTGGGGGGTGCAGCTGTGGTCGGGACAATTATTACATTAACTGATGGGCCTGTAAATAAATAGTTTATAAATAAGGTAGAAATAAGTTCCTCACGCTGATAACTAATCTCTCTGAGGACACAGTGCTACAGCACCTTGACACGACTCAATAAATGTTATGTAACATTTTGTGAACATCAATTTATTTGCATGTATTTGTTATAAATGCCACTGTATAATTCTTGCTGTCAGTATTTGCAAGATATTGGTATTTGGGTCTGTACTGGTTAGACTTACATGAGTTAAACCAAGGTCTACAGCCCTTGGGTCATAGACTATGAGCTATAAGTATATTGGTCTTTTTATCCTGGGAATCAGGAGTTCTTTTAGTGATCATCTTGTTTCTTATTTTTGTCCTGATTGTGCCCTGAGCAGTTTTATGACTGAATAAAAACAAATAAAATCAACATAAATTGAAAAATCGTCCTAAATAATCGTGATCTCAATTTCAGTCACCATAATCGTGATTATTATTTTTGCCATAATCGAGCAGCCCTATCTCAGAGAGACTTGTCACTTAGAAAATGTTCCCTAATTGTTAAGCATCAGAATAATATGCTCTGTTATGTTATGCATCTATGTAAATATGTAAATAAGAATGTGTATATGTATGTGCTTTTATTTTGAAAAGCAACTGTAGAGGAAGTTGAACTTTGACCTCCTAGAATGACCAATAAAAAGGGAGCATTGGTGTTTGTAGCCGCAATCAATGAGTGTGTTTACATGCAGCCAGTAACCCTTTTAAAACCCGAATATTCACAATAACCCGGTTCCGCACGGTCATGTAAACACCACCAAAAACCCGGATATGCTCATAACCGGGTTTTTAAAAACCCGGTAACTACACCTGGGGTAACCCTTTTCTAACCCGAATGTTTGGTCGTGTAAACGCATATCGGGATATCCCCATCAAAGCGTGTGTTCTGCGCATGCTCTGTTCGCAAGGAATCTTGGTCTTTTGAGTAGTGAGACGTCTTGTATGCGCCAGAACACCGGAAGTAAACAACAAGTTGGGAGCAACATGGCGAGTCGCGGCACAGCATCGCACTTTTGGAGTGATGAGGAAACCTCTGTCTTCATCGGTCTGGTGAAAAGTATGAACATTATGTCTTTTGTTGACGGCCGAAAGTACAGAGACAGCGAAATATACAAGAAGGTAACCGCATATAGCGTCTGGACGTAGTCCATATGTCCTGACGCTACCCCAACGTCCGCATTTAAATCGGGTTATGCAAGTTAGGGGTAACTCTTTCTATTTATGCTTGTAAACGGATTATTCTGATCAACTCAGAAACCCGAATGCCGACTGTAACCCGATCATAACCCAGATATTGGCTGCATGTAAACATAGTCAGTGTGTGCAACCACCAGTGAAGGCCCGTTGAAACAGACACTCTGTTTATGGATTTATTTCCTTCTTTTTAATCCTGGAGACTCGTTTGGGACTCTTGGACCGACCGCTGGGTAAATCAAACTCTGCAAACAGGTTATGGGCCCAGAGCAGAGACCAAGAACCAGACCAGAATGAATTGTGAACCAGGAACGCTGAGCACCAAGCTAATCAGGACAGCTGGGAAATCATCCTGCTAGCGTATGAGGAGCACAGAACCGACCAACAGCAAGTCCGGTGAGTCGAGCAAGAGCTACGACGTGTGTCGGACACCATGAGTCGGAAGACAGCGGAAGCCAGTACCCGCTGGTCAAGACTGGTATTTGACGGAGACGAGGATAAATATGAACTATGGGAAACAAAGTTTCTCGGACACCTCCGGCTACAAGGTTTGAAAGACATATATTAAAGCCGAAAGACGACGATGATGATGAGGAATATGATTCAAAGAACGCAGAGGCATATGCCAAACTTATACAATTTCTGGATGATAAGAGCCTTTCACTGGTAATGAGAGACGCAGCTGACGACGGGCGGAAAGCTCTAATTATCTTGAGAGAACACTATGCCGGGAAGGGAAAACCCCGCACAATAAGCTTATACACCGAACTGACTGCATTACAGCAGAAAAGCGGAGGTGAGTGCTAACGAAGAGAGGGCCCCTCAGCCTTCAAAGGTTGCTCCTAAGCTGACAAAAGGGAGAAATGCCAGAAAAGCCCCAGAGGATGCAGCTGAACTGGTCCAAGACATAGTTATTCTTGAAGATGAGGTAACTCCAGACCATAAGGAGGAGAAGCCACCAGCTGATGCAGAACACAAAGTCGATGAGAACGCAGCACCGGTGAAGAAAAGTGAGCTGAAACCAAAACGAGGGACAAAACCTAAACGAGCTGCAGCACAGCAACGACCAGATGAGCCCCGTCTGCAACCTGAAGATGTTTCTCAGGCTGAAGAACCAAAAGATGCAAGTGAAACCTGCAGTGAGCAGCTGGAGGTGTTGCTAGTCGCTCAGGCTCCTGAAATGATGAACCCGCCCAGTGACGAGGTAGCTTGTGAAGCCACACAATCTAAACCAGCTGCTGTTCGGAAGAAGCCTGTCAGAGGCAGAAAGGCAATGTCAACCGAATCTAAAGAGGCTGAACTGAAACAGGATGCTGCAGAACCATCAGAAGAGCCCGTTGGTCCTGCTCCAGTCAGAGGAAGACGGGCAAAGAAAACAGATGCTGCAGCGCCCTCTGCTGTTCTGAAAACCACAAGAACCAGAAATGCTAAATCTCCAGACATGACCACTGAGCAGCCAGCTGTTGAAACACTGGTGATAACGGAAGTTTCCACTGAAGCCAGTGATGTCCAAGCCACCCAGGAGAAAATGGATTTGCTATTCTATTTAGAAAAGGTTGCATCAAAACCAGCCAGAGAAAGAAAAGCTAAGCTAACTCCTGCGGAGTCAAAGAAATCTGAAGACCAGAACAGTGAAAATGTTGCCTCTAACCCCTGCTTTCCACAGGAGCCGTCAGCAGCACGTTACTGCAGCAGCACGTCTTGCTCGCGTAAACTGCTGCTTGGCCCTTCCCACGAGACGCGAAGCAGCAGGGGAGCAGCTGCCACTGACCGAGCACGAAGTCACACGATTGACTTCGTCAGTAAACACAACAACAAGCAGGAGAAAACTACAACATGGCTCCAAAGGTTTGTGTTTTATGTTCTGTCCATTTTATAATCGCCAATACGGACCTGAAAAACAAAGGAGACCGCTAGCTAGGTGATAACTTCTCACGGGTAACTTTTTATAAAAGTAAAGCAACCGGAAGGCAGTACGTTTCTTTATTCTGAAAATCTCGGGAGCTTCTCTCCATTTCCGCGTCCGATTTCCTGTCTTTCCTTCCCCAAAAATGTCGAACTTGACCCGTTTCAGAGGCGTCGCGCGTAGAAAATAGAACCGGCGCGTAAGGGCCGCGACATGCTGCTCCTGAGACGCGGCCGACTCGCGCTGCTGACGGCTCCAGTGGAAAAGGTTCTGTCGACCACAGCGGTTCCTATCAGCAGCTATGACGTGCTGCTGACGGCTCCGGTGGAAAGCAGGGCTCCAAAAGGTTTGTGTTTTATGTTCTGTCCGTTTTATAATCGCCAATACGGACCTGAAAAACAAAGGAGTAGGGGTTAGAGGCAACATTTTCACTGTTCTGGTCTTCAGATTTCTTTGGCTCCGCAGGAGTTAGCTTAGCTTTTCTTTCTCTGGCTGGTTTTGATGCAACCTTTTCTAAATAGAAAGCAGGGCTTTCCAATGGAGCCGTCAGCAGCACGTCACTGCAGCAGCACGTCATAGCTGCTGATAGGAACCGCTGTGGTCAACAGAACCTTTTCCACTGGAGCTGTCAGCAGCTCGAGTCGGCTGCGTCTCAGGAGCAGCATGTCGCGGCCTTTCCGCGCCGGTTCTATTTTCTACGCGCGACGCCTCTGAAACGGGTCAAGTTCAACATTTTTGGGGAAGGAAAGACAGGAAATCGGACGCAAAAATGGAGAGAAGCTCCAGAGATTTTCAGAATAAAGAAACGTACTGCCTTCCGGTTGCTTTACTTTTATAAAAAGTTACTAAATGTGCAGCCCTGTGAGAAGTTATCACCTAGCTAGCGGTCTCCTTTGTTTTTCAGGTCCGTATTGGCGATTATAAAACGGTCAGAACATAAAACACAAACCTTTTGGAGCCATGTTGTAGTTTTCTCCTGCTTGTTGTTGTGTTTACTGACGAAGTCACTCGTGTGACTTCGTGCTCTGTCGGTGACAGCTGCTCCCTGCTGCTTCGCGTCTCGTGGGAAGGGCCAAGCAGCAGTTTACGCGAGCAAGACGTGCTGCTGCAGTAACGTGCTGCTGACGGCTCCTGTGGAAAGCAGGGGTTATGCTCAACATCCTCTGCCAATTCCTTCTGCTGCTGGAAAACCCAAACGAGAAAGAAAAGTTGAAGTTGAACAAAGCAAGGTGGTTGACAACACGGACGTACCTGAAGAGATCAAGCCTCAGCCTCCCGTGAGGGCTAAGAGAGGAAGGAATAGCCAACCGAAAGAGGAGGTTCAAAAGGATGTTTATGTCATAACTACCTCAGAAGAGAAATCTAACTGCCAGGAACCAGGTAAGAAATCAAGGAGAACAAGCTGAGCAGGAACAAGTCAAACCAACAGAAGAAATCCAAACTGATGAGGTGGTTGTCCCAGAGAAGGCAGACGCTCCACCTGCTGAACCAGAAAAGAGTGAACAGGCTACTGTTGCTGCAAAGCCCAGAAGAGGAGGTTAAAGACAAAACACCCGGGCAGAAAGAGAAAGACCCAGGAGAGGGAACGAGTCATACAAAACCTCTAGAAGAACCAGAACAAACATCATCGCGTTATCCCACCAGAGAGAGAAAGAGACCGAGTAACTTGAAAGATTATGCAACAAAAGGTTATGTAACAGAGAATGATGATCAAGTTTTAACTAACTTGGACTATTGCTACAGACTTTTTACTGATGTACCCTTAATTCATGAAGAAACAATAAAATCACCTGACTCAGAGGCATGGAAAGCAGCCATGGAGGAAGAACTAGCCTCACTGAAAGACAATGACACTTTCACTCTGACAACTTTGCCAGAAGGCAGAAAGACAGTGGGGGGAAGATGGGTGTTTACCATTAAAAGGAATGTAGATGGAACAGATAAACATAAAGCTAGATATGTGGCTAAAGGGTTCAGTCAGAAAAAGGGAGAAGATTATGAGGAAACCTTCTCACCTACGGCACATTTAAACAGTGTTAGAATCCTAATGCAGAAAGCAGTGCATGAAAATCTGTTGCTACATCAAATGGACGTTAAAACCGCCTACCTTCATGCTAGGGATGCACCGATGGATCGGCATTTGATCGTAATCGGCCGATAGCGCCCCTATCGGTTTTGATCGGAGTTTTCAAAATAGATCAAAGCAGACCGATCAGCGTAGGGTTGTCACGGTAACCAGTGTAGCGGTAAACCCCGGTAAAAAAAAAAAAGTTGACAATAATAATAACTGTCTTGTTTTTTTTTTAAAAAAACTATAATATCTTGGTGGGTTTACCGTGGCTGCAGTGTAGGCGCGGTGACCCTTACCAGCCACTGTATCATCTGCTGAAGTTGCGCGCTTCGTTGTTTAGAACCAAAACTTTCTTGAAGCTAAAGCTGAAATAATGGCCAAAGGAGGAGACGGCAGCGCTCAGGAGGACATTTATTATCCCTCAAAGAAGACAAAGTCGGAAGTACGGGCATTTTTTGGATATCTGAAGAATGCAGAGAGAGTTTATAGAAGACGGCGATCCTGTTTGCAGCACGAGCAGAAAAAGTGTCTGTGAAAGGCAGCAATGCTTCAAATCTCATAACACATCTGCGTGACCATCACTCACAACTCTACAGTCAACGCAAGGCAAGCTAACATTAGCGTTTTAGCTAAAATGCGTGATCCGAGGATTTGGGTTGAGGGAGAATGCAACGAGTCGCTATATAAAGCAGCCGCAGCGCCTCTACCTGCATATAAACCGTGTCGCGGACACCGCCATGTTGAAATGACGCTATGCATTACGGGGCTCCCAGGGGCAGATAAGAGTTGGTCTCTCTCCGAGAATAATTATGAATTTAACAATGATTACTGCCTGATGACATTTTCCCACATCTGCAAAGCTCACTGGAAGGACACAAACCGAGGACAATATTTTCCTGATATAGGGTTTATTACTCAAGTAAGGGTAAAAAAGTATCTGATTAGAAGGCTACTTGAGTACTGAGTATCATCTGATCTAATATTTTTAAAATGATGACATCAAACAGACAAAAAATAAGAAGTTATGGGCAAATATTGGTATTTTAAAGACTAAAGGGGAAAATTTAAACAAATAAACAACATAATTACAAAATAACTCATTTTAGACAAAATTTAGACACAAACTGAGGACAATATTTCCTGACATACAGGGTTTATTTAATTGTGTGAAATGTAGCATGTTTAAAAAAAAACCATGATAATACCGAAAACCGTGGTAATTTTGGTCACAATAACCGTGAGGTTAAATTTTCACACAGTGACAACCTTAATAGAGACCATTTTAGATCAGGTTACATTTCCTTTATTCCCAGATTATGTCGTTTGTACCACTCATAATGTTGTAGAAAATTTCTGGCCAATCCACGTGATCGGTATCGGTGATCCGCATTCTTTGATATCGGTATCGGTGATCGGCAGCAAAAAACCTGATCGGTGCATCCCTACTTCATGCCCCGTTACATCATGAAATATACCTGGAACAACCAGAAGGTTATGAAATACTGGCACAAAAGAATGAGAAACTAGTGTGTAAACTAAACAAAGCTATATATATGGACTCAAACAGGCAGGTAGAAACTGGAACACTGTTTTACATTAATATCTGTGTGAAAATGACTTTGTACAAAACCCTGCTGATCATTGTGTGTATACCAGGCAAAGACAAGAAGACAAGTGCAAACAATCAGAGCAAGTGGGGGTGTTAAGCATCAGAATAATATGCTCTGTTATGTTATGCATCTATGTAAATAATAATGTGTAAATGTATATGCTTTTATTATGAAAAGCAACTGTAGAGGAAGTTGAACTTTGACCTCCTAGAATGACCAATAAAAAGGGAGCATTGGTGTTTGTAGCTGCAATCAGTGTGTGCTACCACCAGTGAAGGCCCGTTGAAACAAGACGCTCTGTTTATGGATTTATTTCCTCCTTTTTAATCCTGGAGATTCGTTTGGGAGTCTTGGACCAACCGCTGGGTAAATCAAACTCTGCTAACAATGATTATGAAACTTAGATGAATTGTGCTTGTTCCTGTCTCCAATGTGGCGTCGCATCCAGGAGCCTTTCTGAGGAGAATCCCATATCCTCTTCAGCTCAGAATGCACCTATATGATTACGCACAAGCGTGACGCGTCAAGCCGGTCTCACAGTCAGACGTGTTCAGGTTTACGCAGACAATCTTTACATTTAGAATTAAAATTTATGCAGTAAAATATAAAGCATTTTATTTAAATATCCAGTCATTTTACAAGCACAGAGAGCCGCATCAGATGGATGGAAGAGCCTCATGCGGCTCCAGAGCTGCGGGTTGCCGACCCCCGCACTAGAGGGACTCACACACTGGTAAGCCACTGGTTGTTGAGTCGTTGGGCTGATGACAAAGACAACATCCACTAGAGGGACTCCAGTATCAAACTTTATTTAACAGAACCTTGAACTCAGAACATCCTGCAAAATCTCACATTTCCTTTAAAATGCAATCAGGCAAATAACCACAATATAAAACAACAGGTGACATTAAAACATTTAAATAGATATGAAACATAAACTTCATGAAACAGATAGAAGCCACGTTGAAACAGTTGAGCTGCAATGAAGTTAAAGTTAAATGTGCCTGATTCAAACACAGGTAGAGCGAGCTGGATAAACCGCACATTCCTGTTAAGACGTGAAGGTAGAGGAAGAATCCCAGGATGCACCAGACACAGTTGCAGGGATATGAATTTAGAATAGACTGTAGCGTTTACCAGGTACACTGGGGCTCTCACATTGACACCACTCAGCTTCACATGACCTTTACTAATCTCTGTCAGGGAACTGCGTAGTTGTTACGCTCCTCGGCAGACTCTGAGCTGCACAGACTCCTCATGTCTGCTCTGTCTCCCTCTGCTTGGTGTATGCTTCTGCGTCAGCTCCACCAGGGAGAGACAAACACCGATAGACAGAAGCGCTCATCTCCTGGGAGTGCTGCAAAGCATTTCCCCTCCAGGACAGCAGAGGGCGCAGCGCTTTTCTGTGGTATCCTGTCATGTATTCAGTCCAAAATAGTATATTTAATCGTGTTTATATTGTGTTTATGTATATAAGAGACTTTATAACACGGACAAATTTGTCCCTCATCCTCCTCCATCTCTTCATGCACTCGCCACCTCTAAACCCACATTTACCTTCACTTCCGAGGAGGTTGTGTCAGTGATAAATGGCATGCAAGAGTCTGGTCATTTACCTTCTGAAAGGAAACATGCAATAAAAACCCCTAATTTGAAGCCAGGGAGGAAACCTAATGATCCAGGTTCATGTAGACCAGGGGTGGGGAACCCAGGTCTATCGAGGGCTGCTATCCAGCATATCTTGGTTTCAACTCTGCTTCAGCACATCTGATTTTAATCAGTAGGTGATTAACAGGCTTCTGCAGAGCTTGATGAGCTGCTTGATGAGCAACCACTGAATCAGAATTGTTGGAGCAAAGACATGCAGGATACCAGCCCTTGAGGACCAGGGTTCCACATGCCTGATGTAGACCCATAGACCCAATGTCAGTGGTATGTCAAATTATTAAGTTAGTGTACATTCTAGAGGAGCGAGGTTACTTTGTGCCCTATCAGACTGTGTTCAGGCAAGGTTGCCCTATAATGGATGCAGTTGTGCGCTTGGATCTGGATGTTAGAGATGATAGCGAATAAGGAAGAAATTTTAGCTTTGCTCATTGAGCGATGGGACAACACTGTCAAAGTAATTAAATGCCCATCTTGTAACTGGAGGAAATCGAGTCCTTGGGCAAGAAGCCTAACCCGCCTTGACTGCTGGTGATGATCGGATGGAAGTATGGTGCCAGTGTTCCCTAGGGCAGATGTGACCACAGTGTAACTCATCACCACCAGCGTGTGAATGTGTGTGTGCAAATGACTGGATGTGATGTGAAGTGCCTTGGTGGGTTCTAGAACCCTAGAAGGTGCTATACCCAGCCATTTACCATATGAAGAAGGTTTATGATATGCTGTGGGGAGAATGGCGTTGATTCCTAAATATGAGGTAGGGATAAGCAGGAGAATTTGAAATTGGATTCAGGACTTCCTAAATGGAAGGACTATTCAGGTGAGAGTTGGGTCTATCCCGTCTGCGTCGGTAGGGGTGAGAATGGCATTCCTCAAGGCTGTGTTATTAGCCCCATCCTTTTAATGTCCTGATTAATGGCTTGTTTAGCTCGCTGAGTAGACATTGGGAAATAGCTGTTTGCAGATAATGGAGCAATTTGGAGGTGGGAAAGAAATCTTGAGCACATATTCAGAAGATACAGGACTGTCTGGACAGACTGGTGGATTGGACTAGACACTGGGGTTTTATGCTTTCTACAGATAAGACAAAGTAGTTGGTGTTCAAAAATAAGAGTAACAAAAAAGATCCGGACAGATAGGTGCAAATGAAATTGAGTTTCTAGCTTTAAATATCTGTGGTGTGGAAGGGTTCTCAATGTTCTGAGGTATTTAGCCTTCACGGATTGGGGTGGGGGTGATAGAGACCCATTAATAATAGTGTATAGGACAATCACTAGATCTGTTTCTGGGTTAGGATGCTTGTTGTATGGGTCTGCAGACACTATGAATGTGAAAGCGTTGGATGTAGTCCAGGTAAAGGCTATAAGGGCATGTAGTGGCGCCTTTCAGGCGTCCCTGATACCAGCTCTGCTGCTGGAAATGGCAGCGATGCTGTTGGAAACTAGATAGATTAAACTGCGACTTAGGAATCAAGTGATGATGACAGCTCAAAATGAAGTGTTTTCTGCAAAATTATTATTGTACAAGCTAGGGCTAAACGATTTTAGGAAAAGACTGAATTGCGATTTTTGTAGAAGAAATTGCGGTTTCAGTTCAATTCACAATTTTCTTCAAACAAAGGTACACCACTAGCCTACCAAGCCATCCTGTATATTAGTCAAAAGATGGTTTAGACTCTAATCTAGTACAACAAATCATTCACATGAATATTTACTATCTAATCATATAATAAAAACAGTTAAAGCTGTTTATATGTTCTCCCATTATTATATTTTTATTTTTTAACGTGTTTGTGAAGCAACGATTTTTATCTAGAGAGGTGCTTTATAAAAAACATGTTTGTGATCTACTCCAGAAATAAAAGGATTGAATCTGAAGGTAGAAACAGCTTTCAGATGTATTAAATAACAATAATGCACAGATTTCCAGCACACACCCTCACACACCTACAATCTCACTCTCCCTCACACACCTAGTCGATCTCTCTCCCTCAGTCTGCTATAGTCTCACTCGCTCTCTCTCTCTCTCCCTCACACACCTACAATCTCTCTCTCTCTCCCACACCTACAGTCTCTCTCTCTCCCTCACACACCTACCGTGCAATTATTATCAGCTCTAGCAGCGCTGTGTGGAAAAATAAAACAGGGAAAACAACCTGACCATGCAGCTCGGTCAGCTGTGGAATTGGGCTTGGCTCCGGGACGGTACACCCCACCCCCCTCCCCCGTGCTGGCTGTTGCCGCCGCTGTAACACAGGGGGAAACCCCAGAAGTAAAAAATGTTGACACAACAGATCCTGGACCAGTCAGAACCGCAGCTTTGATGGTCACGTGATCGTTCTGTTAAAAATTGCAACTTTGGCCCAAAAACAATAGATCGTTCAGCCCTATTGTCCGGAACACTCTTTTGAATTTCATTGGACAACCACTGGCAGGAGTCTTATGCTGGTAAGAGGACAGGCATGGTCCTCTATGGCCTTCAGCATATGGTAGGAGGCATCTTGGTTTAGTTGTTGGAGGAGGGATTCTATGGCTGAGGTTGGGTCAATGTGGTCTTAGGAAACATCCTGATGGGAAATGTGACTGAGGTGAATTAGAAAAGGTGACACATATTCTTCTGCATTGTATGAAGTACTTGTCACAGAGGAGACCTCTTTCTAGGGTCCTTAGAGTAGGGGGATGACTGTGTTTAATATGAATATGCTGCTGAATTGGGAAGACATTCCTGTAATGGAGGTTTGCTGCATTATCTGCATGCCATTGGTGTGTATGGCAGACTGTGAGACTTGAGGTGCACTGTTTTGAACCAGCCAATGATGTGTCTAGTCTGCCTATTCCCCATGGCAGAAGAAATAGAATGGCTTTATGTGAAACCATAGACTTGTTTGCTGGCCCCACTCTAACCCTCACATTCCTCAAAGACTGAATTAACATTTAAAGGACAGAGCCTGTTTTGGCTTCTCTGGGGCAAAAGTTGATGATGGAGTCAAACAGCTAAGCAGCGGCAGAGCCCCTAGGGTGGATGATTCGACCTAGGTATCTCAAGGCTTTGGATGTTGTAGGAATGTCTTGCTTGACATGGCTCTGCAACATTGCGTGGTCATCGGGGGCAGTTCCTCTGGAGTCACAGACCAGATTGGTGATCCCAATTTTTAAAAAGTGGGACCAGAGGGTGTGTTTCAACTATAGGGGGATCACACTCCTCGGCCTCCCGGGAAAGGTCTACTTCAAGGTACTGGAGAGGAGGTTGATAGTTGAACCTCAGATAGAGGAGGAGTACTGTGGATTTTCATCCTGGCCGTGGACATGTGAACCAACTCTTTACCCTTGCTAGGGAGATGGAGGGGTCATGGGAGTTAGCCCAACCAATCCACATGCGTTTTGTGGATTTGGGGAACCTTGTCTCCAGAGGCACCCTGGGGAGGCACTCCAGGAGTATGGGGTGGATGGTCTTTTGCTAAGGGCCCTTCAGTCCCTGTACCAGAGGCGTGTGTGTTTGGTCCTCATAGCAGACAGTAACCCCGGCTTTCCACAGCAGCCGTCAGCAGCACGTTACTGCAGCAGCATGTCATAGCTGCTGATAGGAACCGCTGTGGTCAACAGAACCTTTTCCACTGGAGCCGTCGGCAGCCGTCAGCAGCGCGAGTCGGCCGCGTCTCAGGAGCAGCATGTCGCGGCCTTTACACGCCGGTTCTATTTCCTACGCGCGACGCCTCTGAAACGGGTCAAGTTCGACATTTTTGGGGAAGGAAAGACAGGAAATCGGACGCGGAAATGGAGAGAAGCTCCCGAGATTTTCAGAATAAAGAACGTACTGCCTTCCGGTCGCTTTACTTTAAAAAAGGTTACTAACTGTGTGGCCCCGTGAGAAGTTATCACCTAGCTAGCGGTCTCCTTTGTTTTTCAGGTCCGTATTGGCGATTATAAAACGGACAGAACATAAAAACACAAACATTTTGGAGCCATGTTGTAGTTTTCTCCTGCTTGTTGTTGTGTTTACTGACGAAGTCACTCGTGTGACTTCGTGCTCTGTCGGTGACATCTGCTCCCCTGCTGATTCGCGTCTCGTGGGAAGGGCCAAGCAGCAGCTTACGCGAGCAAGACGTGCTGCTGCAGTAACGTGCTGCTGACGGCTCCCGTGGAAACCCGGGGTAAGTCGGACCTGTTCCCAGTGAGGGTTGGACTCCGCCAGGGCTGCCCTTTGTCACCAGTCCGTTCATAATGTTTATGGACAGGGTTTCTAGGTGCAGCTGTGGTGTTGAGGGTGTGGAGTTTGGTGGCAGGAGAATCTCCTCTCTGCTTTATGCAGATGATGTGGTCCTCCTAGCTTCATCAGGCTCTGACCTTCAGCTCTTGCTGTGAAGGTTCACAGCCAAGTGTGAAGCGGCTGGGATGAGGATCGGCATCTCCAAGTCTGAGACCATGGTTCTCGACTGGAAAAGGGCGGCTTGCCAACTCCAGGTCGGGAGAGAGGTCCTGCCTCAAGTGAAGGAGTTCAAGTATCTCAGGGTCTAGTTCACAAGTGAGGGAAGGAGGGAGCGGGAGATCGACAGGTGGATTGGGGCAGCGTCTGCAGTGACGCAGATGCTGAACCGGTCTGTTGTGGAGAAGAAGGAGCTGAGCCGGAAAACAAGGCTCTCGATTTACCGGTCAATCTACCGCTCAGTCCTCATCTATGGTCATGAGCTCTGGGTGATGACTAAAGAACAACATCACGAATACAAGTGGCTGAAATTAGTTTTCTCAGCTGGTTGGCTGGGCTCAGTCTCAGGGAAAGGGTGACGAGCTCGGACATTCGGGGGAGACTCGGAGTAGAGCCGCTGCTCCTCCATATCGAGAGGAGTCAGTTGATGTGGTTTGGGTATCTTGTTAGGATGCCTCCTGGACGCCTCCCCAGGGAAGTGTTTCAGGCATGTCCTGCCGGCAGGAGGCCCCCTGGTCGATCCAGGACACATTGGAGAAAGTACATCTCCAAACAGGCCCAGGAGCGCATCGGGGTCCTGCTGGAGGAGCTGGTGGAGGAGGTCGGGCAGAGGACAGTCTGGAACTCCCTAGCTGGGATGCTGCCCCCACAACCCGGACCCGGATAGGTGGAAGGAGATGAGAGAGACAAGACTGTTTTGTGTGTAAGCAAGCTTTAGAAATGAGAACCAGAACATGTAGGTTTCAGACCTCCTACATGTGGACATTCCTAATGTGGGTCTTCAGGTGGCAGCTTTGAGTGAAGCGTTTTTCACAAACACTACAGGAGTATGGCCTCTCACCTGTGTGAGTTCTCACATGGTCCTTGACCTGACTACACTGGCTGAAACCTTTACCACACATGCTGCAGGAGTACGGTTTCTCTCCGGTGTGAGTCCTCATGTGGACGTTCAGTGCCCCCCGCTGGACGAAACGCTTCCCACATTCCTTACAGGAGTAGGGTTTCTCCCCCGTGTGGATCCTCATGTGATCCGTCAGACTGTTGCTCTGGGTGAAGCTTTTCAGACACACCTGACATGAAAAAGGCTTCTCACCTGTGTGAGTTCTCATGTGACGCAACAGGTGACTGTTCAGGCCGAAGCGGTCTCCACAGATCTGACAGGAGTACCGTCGCTCTCCGGTGTGAGTGATCATGTGACGCAACAGGCTGTCACGCCGACCGAAGCTTTTCAAACACGTCTGGCAAGAGTACGGCTTCTCGTCCTGGTGAGTTTGTTGGTGGAACTTCAGAGATGAAAGGTCAGAGAAGCTTTCCCCACAAGTGCTGCAGGAATAGGGTCCAATACCATCTGGATCCAAACTGCCTTCTACTTTTTGAGAGGACAGAACCAAACTGCTCTGTTCTGCTTCAGCCTGATCACGTTCCTCACAATCCACTGTAACCATGAAGACATCACCTTCCTTCTTCAGAACCAGCTGCTCCTGGTCTGGACTGTAGTAGAGGTCAATCTGGTCCTCTTTGATCTGTAGAGGTTCTGGGTCCACCTGGTCCTCTTTGATCTGTAGAGGTTCTTGGTCCACCTGGTCAAATTTGCTATGTAAATAAACTCCAGTGTGGTCCACATTAGAGTTCCTGTCTTGGTCACTGAGCTGTTGGCTGTTCAGAACCTTGTTCTGCACGCTGACTGGACCTGGGAAGGACAGGAACAGATTTTCAGAGTAGAACTCATCTCTGAGAGACTAACCTGGTCTGGAATGTAAGCAGAACATCGGATACGCTGAGTGCATATGTAGAACCTGCACATAAAACCTGGGACCAGAGAACTGGGTTACAACTGGGATTCCTCAGATTTGTGGCTCCTTAACGGTCCGGAATAGACTAAACCAGCTAATTTAAAGGTGTTCTATAACAGGGTTACTCAATCCTGGTCCCGGAGGGTCAGTATTCGGTATGCTTTAGGGGTTTCATTGGTTCACCACACTGATTTTATTCAGCAGGTACAGAGCCTGGTGAGCTGCTAAACATGTGATTCAAACTTGAGTCAATCAAGTGTGTTGGAGCAGAGGAACAACTTAACATACTGGAAACCGGTCCTTCAGGACCAGAATAGAGAATCCCTGTTCTAGAGCTATCTTTTTTTTTTTTTTTTTTTTTTTTTGTACACAAAAGGAGAATAATCATCGAGCATCAAGAAATCGGGTTGGAGCATAAGGCTTTTATAGTTCAGTAATTTAGGGAGGAGCTTGACCATGTAGAGCCCAGAAAGTTCTAGTCAGGACTCTAAAATGAACTCTAAAGTTAACGGGTAACCAGTGCAGAGACATCAGAATAGGAGTGATGTGTGCTCTTCTGTTTGCTCCAGTTAGGAGCCTCGCTGCAGAGCTCTGGACCAACTGAAGGTGGTCAAGGGCTTTTTTGTTAAAACATGTGAAGAGTGTGTAACAGTAATCTAGACGGGAGGAGATAGAGGCATGGAGAACCATTTCAAGCTCACGTTTTGACACCAACCTTCGCAGTTTGGAGATATTTCTTAAGTGATAAAAACTGTTTCGGAGCAATGTTGTTGAGTGGCCTTCAAGAGACATTAATTGGTTAAAAACACCCAAAATCCTTAAGTTTGTCTTGACAGCAGAAGATAAATGACCAAGTTTTAGACTAATCAGGGGAACCATACTCTCAGGGGCAATGATCAGACATTCAGTCTTTTCAGAGTTTAACTGGAGGAAGTTATCTTCTGGCCAGCTGGTGATAGCTGAATGGCACTCTAGTAATTCAGACAGTTTATAGAACTCAGAATCCTTAAAGGAGCAGTACAGCTGAATGTCATCTGCATATAGGTGATAAGAGACATTATGAAAAGAATCAGCTATCTGTCCAAGAGGGTGTATGTACAGTAGAAACAACAGTGGACCCAAAACAGAGCCATGGGTTACGCCACAGAACAGATCAGTAGAATCTGACATGATTTGGTTTCTACAGACACTGTAACTTCTGTTAGAAAGGTACGATCTAAACCAGTCTAGAACAGTTCCAGAGATCCCCATCGAGTGACCAAGTCTGTAAATTAAGGTGCTGTGATCAACAGAGTCAAAAGATACAGAAAGATCCAACAATACTAACACTGTGAATCCCCCGTTGTCTGCAGCCATCATGATGTCACTGGAAACTTTAAGCAAAGCTGTTTCTGTTGAACACTTTTTACCAAAACCAGGAAGGAGGAAGTAGATCAGGGTTCCTACTCTTCTCTTGAAATTATTTTCCAGGACTTTTCCAGGACATTTTCAAGACTTTTTCAGTGTACAAGTCAAGTTATCATAACTACGGTTTGCCGATATCCCGATATATTTAGAAACATGATTTATGATATTGTATCTACCTATACCGTTATTTTGACAATATAGTTGTGGAAAGATTTTTGTCCTTCACAATCCCACCTGCTTTCCTCTACTTACAATGCAACACAACTAAAACAGAAGTTATTCTCTACTTTAGTTCATACCAGAGATGTGACATTGTGGCATCATCAAGTCATCTCCATGTCATGTTTTTGTTCTGCTCAGCAACTGAACCAGGTTAATTCACTGTGCTGATTGAAATCGTAGTCGTCTTCCTCCGCTTATCCGGGTCCAGGTCGCAGGGGCAGCATCCCAACTAGGGAGCTCCAGACCGTCCTCTCCCCGGCCACCTCCACCAGCTCCTCCGGCAGGACCCCAAGGCGTTCCCGGACCAGATTGGAGACGTAACCTCTCCAACGTGTCCTGGGTCGACCCGGGGGCCTCCTGCCGGCAGGACATGCCCGAAACTCCTCCCCAGGGAGGCGTCCAGGAGGCATCCTGACCAGATGCCCTAACCACCTCAACTGACTCCTTTCGATCCGGAGGCGCAGTGGTTCTACTCCGAGTCCCTCCCGAATGTACGAGCTCCTCACCCTATCTCTAAGGCTGAGCCCGGCCACTCTACGGAGGAAACTCATTTCGGCCACTTGTATCCGCAATCTCGTTCTTTCGTTTATTACCCAAAGCTCATGACCATAGGTGAGGATTGGGACGTAGATTGACCGGTAAATCGAGAGCCTGGCTTTCTGGCTCAGTTCCCTCTTCACCACGACAGATCGGCTCAACGTCCGCATCACTGCAGACGCTGAACCAATCCGCCTGTCGATCTCCCGATCCCTCCTACCCTCACTTGTGAACAAAACCCCGAGATACTTAAACTCCTCCACTTGAGGTAGGACCTCTCTCCCGACCTGGAGTTGGCAAGCCACCCTTTTCCGGTTGAGAACCATGGTCTCAGATATGGAGGTGCTGATCCTCATCCCAGCCGCTTCACATTCGGCCGCGAACCTAACCAGCAAGAGCTGAAGGTCAGAGCTGGATGAAGCTGGGAGGACCACATCATCCGCAAAAAGCAAAGACAAGATTCTCCGGCCACCAAACTCGACACACTCCACACCACGGCTGCGCCTAGAAATTCTGTCCATAAAGGTAATGAACAGAACCGGTGACAAAGGGCAGCCCTGGCGGAGACCAACCCTCACCGGGAACAGGTCCAACTTACTACCAGCTACGTGGACCTAACTTACGCTCCTCTGGTAAAGGGACTGAATGGTCCTTAACAGTAAGCCACCCACCCCATACTCCTGGAGCGTCCCCCACAGAGAGCCCCTGGGGACACGGTCATAAGCCTTCTCCAAATCCACAAAACATATGTGGATTGGTTGGGCAAACTCCCATGCCCCCTCCATCACCCTTGCAAGGGTATAGAGCTGGTCCACAGTTCCACGGCCAGGACGAAAACCACATTGCTCCTCCTCAATCTAAGATTCAACTATCGATCGGACCCTCCTCTCCAGTACCTTGGAGTAGACCTTTCCAGGGAGGCTTAGGAGTGTGATCCCCCTATAGTTGGAACACACCCTCAGGTCACCCTTCTAAAAGATGGGGACCACCACCCCAGTCTGCCACTCCACAGGAACTGCCCCTGATGACCACGCAATGTTGCAGAGACTTGCCAACCACGACAGCCCTACAACATCCATAGCCTTTCTTCTGCCGTTCTTCTGCCAGGCATTACCAGCAGAAACTCACTATGCGTTTGGGTCTGCCAGGTTTATGTAGCATCTTCCCCTGCCATCTGATCAAACTCACCACCAGGTGGTGATAAGTTGACAGCTCCGCTCCTCTCTTCACTCGGGTGTCCAAAACATACGGCCGTAGGTCAGATGATAAGACTACAAAGTCTATCATCGACCTGCGACCTAGGCTGCCCTGGTACCAAGTGTACCGATGGGTATCCTTATGTTCGAACATGGTGTTTGTTATGGCCAAACTGCGGCTTGTACAGAAGTCCAATAATGAAACACCACTCGAGTTCAGATCAGGCGGGCCCGTTCCTTCCAATCACACCCCTCCAGGTCATGCTGTCATTGCCCACGTGAGCATTGAAGTCCCCCAGTAGGACAATGGAGTTCCCTGACCGAGCACTATCTAGCACTCGTCCCAGGGACTCCAAAAAGGGTGGGTACTCTGAACTGATATTTAGCCCATAAGCGCAAACAACAGTCAGGACCCGTTCCCCGACCCGAAGGCACAGGGAAGCTACCCTCTCGTCCCCCGGGGTAAACCCCAACACACAGGCAGAGTCTTGGGGCTAACAAAAAGCCAGTTTTGAAAAGTTTTGAATTTGCACCGTCTTCCTGACATCACACTCTCCTGCCTATAAAGGACACAAAGACATATTTTGAAAGATTGTTACTGTTTATATTGACTGTTTATTCAATAAATTAGGCCTGCTTTTCAAACCATAGCTCTTTCATATCTTTCATATTCTATGTATTATACTTACTGTACACACCACATTACACTTTACTGCTTATTTCAACTAGTTGGATGTTAAACTTCATTTTGTTGTTCCAGTATTGGTCATTTTAGGTTAGTGCAGTCATCCAGAAACAAGATTCAGGGTAGATGACTAGGCTAATATCTCCCGCTAACACCACAGACATATTGGACCTGAGAAAAAAAAAATTTTCTACCTCAGAGATAAGTACTTGTAGTTGTTTGCTACTTTTTTAGTCTGGACTGTACGTAGCATTACTATGATAAATATATAGTTACCACTTAAAATCATTCGAGTTATTAATTTAGCCGTGTTGAATTCAATTTAATTACGTTAACAACTTTGTTCAAATGACCATGCCAGTCTTCAGTACTCACTGCCTCCTGGCTGCGGTCTGTGTAGCTAGCTAAAAACAGTATGAACAGCTGAGGCTCTGTCCTCTGAGCACATACTGAGTATTTTTGATAGAATCAAATTCATGACATTTTTCTCATTCACATATTTTTGTTTCTGCTGTCGGACGATAGAACTAGTATGAATTACTGAGTGGAGCGCGGGTCCGGTAGACTACCTGCTATCCGTTGCTATCCTGAAGCTCTCGTCAGGTTCGCTCGTCTCAATGCAGAGTGAAAAAAACAAAAGCTCTCCGCTGCTCCTTTGTCACTCAACAGAGAGAAGGAGAAAAACCTCTCACTCTATAAACTGCAATAAAGCAATACTCGTGAATCGAGTCGCTACTTTTGGCCCTTCTTTGGGGAAATAAATCTAGGGGTGAAAAATCTGTAAATCTAGCAAAAAGACAGTTAGAAAAACAGAAGTGGAACTGGAACTGAAGGGGAATATGCAATCTGA